TAAATAATCTTACATACAAAATAAAAATACATTGTACTGTACTGCTAGAGAAGAAGAAGACATTGAAGTGGATCTGATTATAATCTCCCACGTGCTTTGTGGCTCATATTTACAGCGTAACATGTACTGTAGATGTTTTTATACTAAGAAATGAGGTTTTAGGCTTATGATCATACAGGAAGGCTTCTTTCTCCTATCGTATCTTGTTATCACTGTGCTTGCTTTGCTATATATTTTATGTATTTGTATCATTCATATGACTAACCATGATGTACTTTGTATCACAAAGGCCACACACAAAGCTTGCATTCAGATTTCAAACATTGCTTATAATTTTCGGTCCATTTCATTTAACAGGTTGCAAGTTTATTTTTTCATTAAAATAAAAAAGACATTATACTTACCTAGTCTGTGCAAGGATATCGCACAGAGCGGCCCCAAACCTCCTCCTCCTCTGGGGTTTCCTGCCAGAGCTCTCTGCTCCTGCTCTTCTCCCCTGTACCACCATAGGAAGCTGCTTCTTAAAGTGGCACACATGAGGGCTCATTCCTGAGCTGGGCTATGTGCATCTATAGCAGGGGTAGGCAACATGTGGCTCTATAGCTATTGCAGGACTACAAGTTCCATCATGCCTCTGCAAGTCATAGCTGTAACTGTCAGTTTTGTAATGTTGCAATGCCTCATGGGAAATGTAGTTCCACAACAGCTGGAGAGCCGCAGGTTGCCTACCTCTGATCTATAGATATACACAACACAGTTTGGCTCATTCCAGTCCCTTTCTTCCTTCTTACAGGTTTTTACTGACAACAGCAGGAGCCAACGGCTCCTACTGCTGTCAGCCAAGCTTGTGAGAGCCTGTGAGAGGGGAGAGAAGACCTGCAGATGGGTATAGCACTGGATCGATGTAGAATTCAAGTAAGTATTTGGGGAGGGAAGAAGGAACAGCAACTAAGTTTTTTTTTTTTACCTTAATGCATATAAAGATAAAAAACATTGTGACTTTAGAACAGGGGTGGACTGACAACTCATGGGGCCCCTGGACAATAGGTGATCATGGGGCCCCTGTGTCCTCGCCCACACTCAAACCACAGCCAAAAAAAAAAACCTATGAAAGTTACCAGGGGCATCTCATGAGGCCCCCTTCTGATTCCGAGCCCTCGGGTAGTGCCCGATTGCCCAAATGGTCAGTCCGCCCCTGCTTTAGAACCACTTTAGGGACCTGCTCACACTAGTACTTGTCAGTGCAACACATGGCAATGGCAAACAGTGCCATTCATTTTGAATGTGCGTTGTAGTGACCCACCACCACCACAGACAGATGTGAAATGTGCTGCTTTAAAAAAAATTGCACTTGTCCATTTTTTTGTGCATTGTGATTCACTGGCAGCCCATTCAAAAGGAATGGCTTCCCAGGCTGATTACTACTCAACAGTTATGTTGGAAGGGACAAAACACAAAGTATAAGCACACACTAATCAAAATCCTGTGCATCTAGCAGGGGTATCTATCATTACATAATAATAACAATAATATGGTGTAACATGTCATAGTAGTACCACTATAACATTCACTGTGACAAATTGTAATGGCAGCACAAGGTCTTCTGGCCCCCAAGGCAAGCAAGCAAAATTCAATGAAGAGAAGAACTGGGCTGACACTGGCAGTCCGGCATTGCAGAGTTTCTCCCAGTATAATAAGTGGAGCACCACTGACAGCTGTGCACTGTGTTCTGCTGGCTACTCCCCTTTGCAGGTGTTTCTTTGGATTGGCCTTGCCCTATTCCTTTAAATAGGAAATTAAAAAGCCAATCAAGGTCTTCTATTCCTGCAGCTGTTAGAGGAATGATGGCCCTCTAGGAGGAGAGCTCCGCCTGGAACCTGGGGGAGGGGCTAGACTTGTGGAGGCCTAAGGCCTGGACAGCATAACATAAAGGAAAATAGTGGGTAGCACAACAGCACCCCCTCCTGTTAGTTACCAGGACAGCTCTCATTAGGAATGCCAGGATTTTTAATATCCTTGTACTGTATTCTATTGCCAGTCTCTGGAAACTGTGTATGTTGTGTACACTAAACATTATGCCAATTTGTGGACTATTGTAATTGGTGCAACCATTCAGCAAATATTTCACTGCCTCATCCGTTTCTCAGCTGGGGGAATGGTTAATGTGGTGTCGTGGGTTAAGCTACTTTGTGAACAAGGAGTATATGTGTTACTAGTGCATACCTGTTCAGTTTTCCGGTGGTGACTAGGGACTGAAGTCGCCCTCCTGGCGGTGAGAGGTATTCCAATGTAGCATGGGACTGGGTGTTCAGCTGGACCTGCTGGAGTCCTAGTCTGGACCATGAGAGGTGTAAGCCTACAAGTGAAGTACTCTGGGCACATAGAGGTTAAGTGGACAGTTCAGCAGGAACTGGCTGAATTTCAATCCATGCATAGCCCTCTCAGTTCAACAGAAGCCAGTCATTAGATCAACTTCTGTCAAACAGTCTTGCTGAAAAACCAGCATTTGATCAGCCACTGCAGTCAATGTTGCAGTGCTGATCAGTGTATTGTGGCGGGGAAGTCCGTGCTGTCAATAGTGCAGTGGGGGAGATCCCCAAATAAAAATTGCTTGTGTGTATGTGGGAATATGTGAGGTTTTCGTTCAACCCACTGATTGAATGAAAAAAACACACAGTGTGCAGAATTGAGACAGGGGCCAGACTCCTCATTAGGGTAATCGGGTGGGAGAAAAGAGTAAAAAGTTGAGTGAATTGACAATAAGCTGCTGTTTTGTATGAAAAGTAGTGAATCCATCAAACCTTTGTTGGCACCAAATGCTGCTACTAATAAAAATGTGTGTGATCCTAATGTGTGAACAGGCATCTTCATATTGGTGCAAAGTCACACTTGTGGGCAATGTTAGATTTGCCTCTGACCTAGTGATTCGCCAGTTTGCAAAACCAATTTACTTGTTTTTAGGGGTTACGTTTGGGTAGTGGGGGCCTGCTTGAAGGTTGCTGTTTAAGAGCTCATGTACACTGCAGCTGCTGATAAACTCTTTTACAGTCATTTACAGGCAGTTGAGTTTATAGTCGTTTTTTTGAACGCACCAAACTTGTGTTCAGGAGTAGATTTTATCAGCGTTTCAAATGCCAAACACTTGTAAACTCGGCTTACCGTGTTTATAAGCATTTGTGTTTAGAAGCGTTTTTTTGACTGGTCCATATCCAGGGCATAATTCACTTAGCGGACCGCATCCGTGTATGTGGTAGGATAGCGCATAGCATTTTTTAAAAAAACTCCATGTGAATCCACTAAAAAATTCTACTAAAATACCGCATGATTTATTATATCAAGTCATGCAGAATTTTAGTAGTGAAATGAATGCATCATGTTTCAGCTGTCAGCGGGGTTCCCAATGACAGCTGAATGTAAAAGAAAGAATTGCAATTAAAAAATAATTTCAAAAACCGGCATGGGGGCCCCCCTCCAATTAATACCAAGCCCTTCGGGTCTGGTATGGATTTTGAGGGGAAGCCCCACACCAAAATTAAAAAAAAAATGGCGTGGGGTTCCCCCCAAAAATCCATACCAGACCCTTATCCTAGCATGCAGCCAGGCAGGTGAGGAAAGGGGGGGGGTGAGCGAGCGCAAGCGCCCCAATCTCCTGAACCATACCAGGCCACATGCCCTCAAGATGGGGGGGTGCTTTGGGGTAGGGGGAGCTCCCCCTTTTTTTGTGAATGGGTAGCGGTACCATGTACCCCATACTCATTCATGTGGGGGGGGCGGGATCTGGGGGCTTCCAAATTCCTATAAGCCCCTCGCCTGCCGACCCCCACAACCACAGCCCAGGGTTGTGGGGAAGAGGCCCTTGTCCCCATCAACATGGGGATAAGGTGCTTTGGGGGGGATCTTCCCCTACCCCAAAGCACCCCCCCATGTTGAGAGCATGTGGCCTGGTATGGTTCAGGGGGGGGGGCGCTCGCTTGCCTCCCCCCCCTTTCCTGACCTGCCAGGCTGCATGCTCGGATAAGGATCTGGTATGGATTTAGGGGGGAACACCACACAAATTCTTTTACAATTTTGGCGTGAGGCTTCCCCTCAAAATCCATACCAGACCCAAAGGACTTGGTATGGATGGGAGGGGGGACCCCCACGCTGTTTTTTAATTATTTTTTAATTGCCGGCAATTCTTTCATTCTTTCAATTCTGACATTCAGCTGTCAGTGGGAATCCCGCTGACAGCTGAAACATTAATGCATGCTTTTCACTACTAAAATACCGCATGACATTCTGGGCATTTGGGAGGGTCTCCTCAGGTTATCTTTTAAAAAACGCTTCTAAATGCAAATGTGCATAAACGCAGATAAACGCATTATGCAAACAAGGCTAAACTGATGTTTTTTAACCTACGTTTTCCAGCAGTCAGTTTCCATCATTCAGAAGAGTTTTCCAAATGCCCCGTGTACATGAACCCTAGCTATGAAGACATGGAGTAATATTTATTTTCCTGAATAGAAAAAAGTGCACATAATTCACATCATCATGCAGACCGGGTATTTAACTCCAGAACTCAAGGCTTCACAATTTATGTGTGGCTGTAGGGAACAGGCACACTATTCAGCCCCACTGCCAGCAGCCTAATAACCTCTATGAGAGTCTGACAGCTGCTGAAAAGTAAACTTTTAAATGCACACAAGGGACACCTGCCAAGTTCTTCTGTTTATCATCCATGTATAACTACAGTACAATAATCTGCCCCATCTGTCAGATTACCTTGTCAGTGGATCATCTGGTTTTCTGCCACCACTGGTTCTCAAACCTATTACTGCACAGACCAGGTATTGTTCACTGCACCCACTGGAGGATCCATGCTGCCCCCCCATGGATATAGAGGAAGACTAATTTAATTTACCCTCCCCTAGCCTGTGGTTCAATTTGAACAGTGGTTTCATCCTAATGAATATGTCAGTCCTAGAAAGAATATTTCACATATTTGTTTTTGCCTATTACAGCTCTCAGGAGTGATACTGAAGGCAGACTGCTGTGCATCAGAAATGAGGAAGAACAGTATCGTTACATGTTGTGTAACCTTTTGTTTGCTGTCTGCATTTCCAGGAAACCAAGGTCTGACTATTTCCTAATAAATATTTTAAACATCACATTGTAGTTTCATAATAAAAAACTGTTTACAGAATAATTCAAAATGTGTAAGTTGAACTTTCCTTGTGGGATCAATGGGCCTAATGACTAGAAATGAGGCAAACATACCTGGGTTCAGTTCAAGCAGGGCTCGGCAAACATGATTAAAGTTTGGGTTCCAAATACAAACCATATTGAAGTCAATGGGAGTCAAATGTTAAAAACATTAATGGCCATTTTCTAGGCTAATAAGTAATGGAATGTCAAACAAATGAAATGAGGGGCTGGGCAATACCCTGGGAAAAATGTACTAAAGAAAAAAATGTTTTTAAATATTTAATCTTGATGGGAAAAGTGATGTTAATGCTTAAAGGTAAATTTAAAAAATGAATTTAATAATAATAATAATAATAATAATAATAATAAAACCTACTACAGCAAGACCTCATACAAAAAAAACAAGAAAAACAGAATGAGTCCCACCAAAATCCAGACCCCTATTCAGGCATGCAGGAAAGGGGGAAAGAACATGCACACCCCTCCTGAGCCATGCCAGGCCCCAAGCCCTTAAAGTGGGGGCCCCTTGGCAAAGCACCCACCATGTTCCCATGTTGTTGTTGACAAGGGCCTGTTCCACACAGCACTAGCCCAATTGCAGTAGAGATCTGGAAAGGGTGAGGGGACTAAACAGAATCTGGGAGCCTTTTAAAAATAAATGGATCCCCTATGTAAATGAATGAGGGGCCCCCCTACTTTTCATTTAAAAAAATGAAAATGGTAAAAAAAAACAGTTTTTGATAAGCCATTTATTAAAAAGGACTCCTGGGCGATGGTATTGACCATATACAGTCCTCTCCTTCTGAAAATGATATATATGTGGCTGGTTCTCCCATACCCAAAAGAATAAAATTCACTTCTTTGCTCATCCTTAGCCAATACATATTAAGGAAATTGATATAAAATACTTACAAGATGGTATAACCCCCCCCCCCCCCCAAATTTTACATAAAATCAACTCTCAACTATCCCCCTTATGCTGGCGATGCTACCAATTGGAAAGATTTCTCCTACATATTTTCTGGGACTGTCCAATGTTAGCTGATTTCTGGTCGGGTGACAAGAATTTAACAGTGTTCTCTTCCAAATACACTAGCAACATACCTTTTAAGCGATACACAAATGTCACTCAAACACTATATTATACTCACTTCTTAAACAACTCCTAAATGTGACTAAGGGTTGCATACCCACTCTCTGGAAAAGAAAGAAAAACCCAAACCTTTGCACATTGGCATGCAAGGATATCTAAAATTCAACTAATGGAACAACTAATGGCATTTCTTAAAAACAAATCTGACAAACATTTTAGAATTTGGACACCTTGGTTACTGTATAGAAATTCTCTCTAAACCCGATAACAATAATAATGGGACTTCTACTTTTCCTTTTTTTTTTTTTGCTTTTGTTTCCCCTCCCCTTTTCATATCCATCTCCTGGTTACTGCTTATTTCACTGGACTAACCTTAAATACAGACCTAGAAACCCATTGACTATATTATTTTTAACATATTTAAATTTGCATACTATTTTTGATTTGTGTATTCTTAATTAGATAGAGATTTTTATTGATCTTATAGATATTTATGTGATTCAATTATTGACAAACTCGTATTTTCCTGATGTTAATTTGATCTTTTGTATTCCTGTATATTTTGGAAAAACAAAAAATTCATAGAAAAATAAAAGTATCCACCTGTGACGGAGAGCAGAAATATTTTATTTTTGTGCTGTTTTGTTGAACTCAACAGTGTGTCAAGCAGTCAACTTGTCTGCTTAATTAAATCTAGAAGTTCCTGTGCCCCAGAGGGGGGTGGGAGATGAAGTTGATCTCAGCGGGAGGCACAGATAGCACACAGTGTCCTGTAGCTGGATAAAGCCAGATGTATCGGCTCTGGGTGCTTGAGGTTTGCTTGAATTGAAGGGACAATATAATGTCCCTATGCTGGCAGAAAGGTTCAGACCTTTGTTTGAGTTTACTCCTGTGATGGACACACAGGAGCTGAGGGCTGTTGTGCTGTGAGAGGTCTTGTGCTGCAGCCAGATCCTACAGCCCCCTCACCATCCCAGGACCTGTGGACCTCTGAAGAGCCTGGCTGGCCTGCCACTGCTACCGGTCCCTTGCTCTCTCCACCACTCGCCAGAATTCTGCTTCCTTGCTGTGTACCAGCCCCTGTGCTGAGGATTTAACCTGGACTTAACATTACCTGCCAGAGCCTGCCTCCCTGCTGTGTGCCAACCTGAAATTAACCCATTGCTTGCCAGAGTGTGCCTCCCTGCTGTGTGCCAACCTGGACTTAACCTATTGTCTGCCAGAGTGTGCCTCCTTGCTGTGTGCCAGTCTGGACTTAACCCATTGCCTTCCAGAGTGTGCCTCCCTGCTGTGTGCCAACCTGGACTTAACCCATTGTCTTCCAGAGTGTGCCTCCTTGCTGTGTGCCAATCTGGACTTAACCCATTGCCTGCCAGAGTCTGCCTCCCTGCTTTGTGCTAACCTGGACTTAATCCATTGCCAGCCAGAGTTCTGCCTCCCTGCTGTGTGCCAACCTAGACTTAATCCTTGTCTGCCTCCTTGTTGTGGGCCCAGACGGTGCTACAAACTAACCCCCCTTGCTGTCTACCAGAACTTGGTGATCCTTGTCGAGTGCCCCACCCTGTGGTACGGACTTAACTTTTATTTTGCCAGAACCTTGCTATACTCACCGTGTGCCCTCAAAATGACTCAATAAAAGCCTTGTGTGTCCCACTCCTCTCCACGTGTGTTCTGTTCCACCCACTCCTACATTACACTAGCATATATATATATATATATATATATATATATATATATATATATATATATATAATTTTCAGAAGGAGAGGTCAGCAAAAGCAGCCTCTATATCTCTATTATGACATGCTTCCTTAAAAGCTTCTATAGCTACTTCTTGTACGCTCTATGGGGACATTGAGCTGTTATTTTCTTATGTAATCCATGTTCAGTGAAAAACTATTTCACTGTTTTTTCTGTACTAATTAAAACTGTACCATTTGTGTTTTTATGCTTGATATTTGCCTAGGTGCCACATTACTGGAAAGTCTGTCCTGCGTTCAACCATATCCATTAGAATTACTTAACTGCACATGGGTAGAAAATAACTTTTTGGAAAACTTGGTGACCATGACTCTGAAAGAATTAGATAAGTATGTCTATGCTTGTGACTTATTAGCTTCTTTATCTTTCTACACTTCATCTTATTTATGTGAGATTTGTTTTTTCACCATATTTAGTTTACTTAATTTATCTTAGCCTGACACTTCAGCTTGAGTGTCAAAGGAAATAGGTCATAAAAAATCTGACAGTTGCTGCCCATCAACTGTTTGACCTCAGTTATCCATCTACTGAGAGTGCCTAACAGTATCTACTAACAGAGTCCCATATTTCATGAGAATGCAAACAACTGTAGAGCTTTGTTATGGAACACTGTTCTTATGTTATGTGGCAACACCACTAATTTTGCAAATGAATGATCTTTCCAGTGCAGACAATCTTTATTGTTTCATTGTAAAGACCTGCAAAGTCTGATGACTATTAATTTATGACTTTAGGTGATGTAACATTCTAGGGGTAGCTACTGAAACAGTCCTGGACCAGGAGTGTTATAAAAGGATACTAAGAGACCCGAGGCACCCTGGAGACCTAAATAAACTGCTGTGGGGCTTGCACAATTGCATAATGAAAAGTGGATGTTTCTTTTCTTCTCCCATTGGCGCTATGGTTCTTTGCTCACAGTGTGCAGTAGAGGTAAATGTAGAAACCCAGTTATATTTAAAAACAACAGATTCTCTAATGCACTATATAATCCCCCCAACATAACTGATAATGTGGAAGGAAAATAGGGAAAAATGAAGGGTGCTTATCACAGTCTGAATGATATCAACAAATTCTGCAACTTAATCCTGGGGTACTTAATAGAAGACAAGGGACATGCTCCCTATGTTCTAGGGTCTGTGAGTACCCCTACCCTGGATATTAGAATTGATAGGAAATCCATACTAAGCAATCTGAAAGATTTGTGGGCTGCTTCTAAGTACTCTAGTTTCCTGGCTATCATGGTTATCTTATGCCTTCAGCGGTTTTTTAGGCTTCATTTACACAACATAGCACCTTCTTACCACCTCTCAAGATCAGATCACTGTTTAGAAGGCTAACACAAATGTAAATGATCCCTTAGTTACTTGCCAAGAGCAAGCACACATCAAAGCACCTGATCTGCATATGTTGTACTATGTAACATTCAGGATTGCCCACCACAAGAAAATAATCCATGTAAGGGAGTCAGAAAGTATCGAAGTCACCAAATCAGAATGACAGCCAGACAAATAGCTTTTTGAGAAGAACAGGGAAGCAATAGTGTTGGGAGCAAGGATTGTGGAGACAGAGCACAGTAAAAATGAGTTATCTCCCCAAAAAAAAATAATTAAAAGTCAGCAGTTACAAATTCTGTAGCTGCTGACTTTTAAAATTAGGGCACTTACCTGTCCAGGGATCCAGCAATGTCCTTACCTGAGCAATTCTTCAATTGGCTATCGAGTGTTGGCATCACCATCTTGACTAAGGGGTTTCCTACTGCGCATGTGCAAAGCACGCTGCATATTGTGAATGGGCCACAGACTTCTGGGACCTGTGAAGTGTCCCAGAAAGCTGTGCCGAAGGTGTGAACTTCTGGGTCAGTTTGCCACAGTGAACTGAGCCGGAAGTGGGAATGGGTACTTGTCAAAACCAGGTACCCGCTCCCCCCTCCCCCCCTAAAGGTTCCAAATATGGCAGCACAGGGGGGAGGAGGCGGACAAGTGGACCATCCCCTTTTGAGTAGAACTCCACTTTAAGGCTAAGCAAACAGGACCCAATGTGTGCAGCATTTTTTGCAGGGATTATAGTACTGTATACAGAAGACTGGAGAGTGCAGAAATTGCGTTGGTCGGAATTACAAGTTAAGGTTACAGGTCCAATAATTTATACAGTGGGGTTTTGGGTGGTAATCTGATGTCAGGGGAACTAAGAATCACAGTAATGTCACACACAGCATAAAAAAAGTTAAGTTCCCATCACATTAGTAGCCTTTTTAACTGGGACATGTGGTGTTGGGAGAAGAGGCTCATTCACTTGGGCAAGGGCAGCTATGATAGTGCAGGGCAGTAGCTTTGAAGGTCAAAGCCAAGGCTGCACTACAGCTGCAGTAAGATCTAGGAGAATAGATGAGCAAAGAAAGGGACTTGGGATCCAAGAGATGCCTTCCCCCATAAATAGCTTCTTTAATATTTCTCTCAGTACCAGTTACTTTTAAAGGATGTGGGGCAGCTGTACCATACAGAAAAACAAGTCTCAGGGTCAGTAAGAAATATTGTGAACAGTTCTGTGTGGCCATCTGAACAAGGTGTTTTAAAAAAAAGTTTCATTGATGAATACCTATTTAGATTTGTGAATATTTTCCTTCATTTTGAATCTCCTAGAAATGAAAGTGCTTGTCAGGAGAAAAGTGTGATCAGGAGATCAGAAACACATTCAACTTGGACATGTGATGTACCTTTGGGTAAACGGTTCGCAACAGATTCCATCCATTTTAGTTTTGTTCCAGAAAGAGACCTGGAGACTCGACTTACCACTGAGGAAGAGAGTAAGAACACAAAACTGAAAATATTTTACTGTCTCTATGTTTGTTTTTTCTACACCTAAATTATGTATGCCAGTCAGTTATACCTATCATCAGCTGAATTGTAAATGTAATGACAAACACTATGGCATACTTTTTAAGTATGTAGAGGTTGCTGTTGACACTTAACCTGTACCCCCCCTATGACATTTTCATTCAAGAAGAGCAGAACATTGCACACCCAGGAAGAGACATCAGAATAGTTGTTAGTAGTCACCAGGCAACACAGAAATTAACCCTGTATGCTTAAAAGTAGCCATACATTGATCAAAATTTGGCTGGATTGGCAGGGGCTGAAGGACTTTTGATCAGTGTCTTGCAGTTCCTGCTCCAAAGTTAAATACTTGAAGGAATATGATGAAACCTTTTACTGATCAGTGGCTGTAGCCAACTGTCTGAAGAAGTGTATTCTGACAACAGGGCATGCCGCTATCAGAATATAATGTCCTAGCATTCGTTTATTTGGATGGAGGAATCTGTTTTTTATGCAGTGTGCTAGATGAACAAAAAAAACAGTTTATGGGCAGCATAACACATTCTTCTGCAGTCTACTGTTGTGTAACAAGGGAACATGTCAGTTCCTTAAATAATTTCTGGGTGACTTTTATGTTCCAGCAGAATACTATCAACATGGAGCCCCCAGTGCTCCTCACTTAGAAGATGCCTGCATGGCAACCCAACCTGACCTACCAGAACTCTCCAGGAATACTCTTTGTACTAACTACAGGTTTAGCTGCAATAGATCCCATAATGACCTCATGGTCACAAGGCAATTTTCAGTAGACACCCCCCATACAGTTTAGAGGAAGTAAGTAGTCGACACACAAGTCCCTTGCTGGGTTACTAAATTAATAAGTTAAACAGAGCAGTTTAGCCACCTACGGGGTAGTGGTACATTGTTTATAGATTTCAACAATTCACATAACAAGATAGCGTGAAATGAGGACATGCTACCTGACAAGGAGGAGTATCTGCAATCCCAACATTTCCCCAAGGGATGTTGCCAGTCCCATTTACAAAAGTACAAACAGACCTCCTGCCTACATTGCACTGTATCTCTAGGCCTTTAGACAGAAGAATATGGAATATCATCCCTCAACCTTCCCACTTTACTCTGCACACTTAAGGCCTTCCACCATGCTATAAATAATCTTTTCCTTACCAAAGGTGTCGTACTGCTGGAAAGTGAAGGGTTAGCACTTAACCCAGGAGCAGGGGCGGACTGAAAACTCATGGGGCCCCGGGCAATAGGGGATCATGGGGCCCCTGTGTCCTTGCCCAAACTCAAAAAAGCCTATGAAAAAGGTACCAGGGGCATCTCATAGGTCCCCCTACTGACCCTGGGTCTTCGAGCAGTGCCCGAGTTTCCAAATGGTCAGCCTGCCCCTACCCAGGAGAGTTTAGTAGTCAAAGTTCACAGATTAGCAATCGGGATATCTAGTGGACAAACATGGGGAATTACATCACACCAGGTACCTTACCATATACAACTTTTTCTTTTTACTGACTACTACAGCACCTTGCTTGTTAAGGCAGTGGTAAGGTGTGGGAGGACTTAGAATTTTCACTAGGCCTGAGATCTGAGAAGCTGAAAAAGTCTGGTAAGCTACTTAGGAAACAGTAGTTAACTGGAGAATTGTTAGTGTTAATTAATTAATTATCTGCACTGCTGCCCTCTCTTCCCTTGCAACGTCTGTCCTTAGTGATGTACTGACTATACTGATAACTCTCCAGCTACCTGTTGTTTACTTGACCATAGCAGCAATGCAGATGGGAGAAGAAGTTGGAGAAAACCAGGTTTCTCTATTACTTCCTTGGTCACATGGGCAGTGATCCAGTTGGATGCTCATGCCCCATGTGTCCCTGGTGGCCATCTCGGGTCACACTGAGCCTGCTTCAAACTCTGACCCCTGGGTTTGGTGTGCTTTATGCAAGTGATTAGCAAAGGAACAAGTTCCCCGTCTGTCAGGGACAGCACTTGCAATAGGGAAAGTTTCCAGTGGAGTAGAGAGAGAGCAGAGTCCATATCTACCTTCTTGGGAAGCTTTTGCTTTGGGTTGGACCAGCCAGGATGCAATCCACCCCTCATGAGAGATGCTGTTAGCATTAATGAGTCTTCTGATTGCTGTCTCTACGCTGCTCCATTCTAAGTGGTACTGGACAGAGGCATCCATTTGACTGAGGGCTTGTAAGTACAGACTGTGTGAGAGATCCTGGAGACTGAGGACTAGAGATGAGCGAATCGAACATGACGAAGTGGAATTCGTTTCGAAGATTAGGAAAAATTCGATTCGCGCCGAATCCGAAAATTAGCAAACTTTGAATGCACGAATCGAATTTTCCCAAAAATGGCGGCGACATGTGTGGCGACGGAGCGGGGATCTCTGGGAAGGCGCGCAGACAAGGCGCGCTGACCCATAATGCATTCATTCATGACATGTGATCGCATTAGCCAATCAGCAGCCAGCCAGCCAGCACTGTGTAATGGTGGAGCTATAAATCGCGGCCATCTTAGAATTCTCCATTAGCCTCCAGTCATTCAAGAGAGACAGACCTGTCTGTATTAGGCAGCGCCGACGTGTGGAGCTGTAACTACGGTCAGGGACAGTACATGTCATTTACGGCCCACTGGGTGAACGTGGTGCCGGCACAGCCGCACCAGCAACTTGGACAGGTCACGCCGCTTTTGCCTGATCTGCGACGTTGCAACAAGGTGGAATTCAACCCTACATATGTTAGACCGCCTTTAGGAACAGCGAAAGGCCATCACCGATTTCCTGATGTTACAAGCGGATAAAGGTACTCCCCTGTGTAACTTAGATGTCAGCCATTGGCAGCTCATGCGTGACACCTGCCGCTTGCTCAGGCCCTTTGAGGAGGCCACGCTATTCGTGAGTCGGCAGGACTATGGGATGAACGACGTCATTCCTCTGTTGCACATCCTGGAACAAATGCTGTTAACAATGGCTGGTCAGGGTGCGGTAGACGTGGCGCACAGATCTCAACGCCACATGACCCCTGTGGGGGCAGGACAGGAAGAAGAGGAGGAGGTAGAGGAGGACATTGGTGCTCAGGAATTATTGAGTGAAATGGGTGGTTTTTCCACTCAGCGGACAGGAGTGGAGGAGCAGGAGCATCTGGTAGAGGAGGAGGAGGAGACAGAGGACCCAGACACACCGTGGCAATATGCTGTGGAGATGGAGGCAGGGAGTCCCTCGCATTCCTTGGCACAAATGGCCCATAGCATGCTCGGTTGCTTGCGTAGCGACAGCCGAATAATAACCATCAGACAGAGGGATGACTTTTGGCTGTCCACCTTGTTGGACCCTCGCTACCGTTCAAAAATGGTGGCCTTTTTCACACCTGCTGAGAGGGAGGCCAAAATAAAGTACTATAAAAACCACCTATGTAGTCAGTTGGTCTCTGCCTTTCTGCGCCAACGTCCATCCTCAGACACTGTGGGCCCTGTGCGCTCGCGTTCCGCTGCCATGGCAGCAGGGGAGGGGTGGGGTGGTAGGAGCAGTGGCAGCCTCAACTGAGCCGGTACAGGGGGCCATGAATCAGTATGGACCTGGCAGCAGCGTGAGCAGACGACAGAGGCACATGGCGCAGGGTAGCGGTGGAGGCAGCAGCAATGGAAGGCCATACAGCACCCTATCACAAAATGGAACCCACCAACAGTGTAAGGAGACCTGAAAGTGGCACATGGCAGAGTCTGGCGATGAAGTCAGCAGCAATGGGAGGCCGTACAGGGACCCATGACACACTCTGGACCTGGCAGCAGCAAGAGGAGTCAGTACAGGGGCCATGGCAGAGTGGCGAAGCGTAAGCAGCTTAAATTGAAGGCCATACAGAGGCCTATGTTAAAAAGTCCCCCCAGCAGCAGCGTGGGGAGACGACTATTAGTCGTCTCCCCACGCTGCTGCTGGGGGGACTTTTTAACATAGGCCTCTGTATGGCCTTCAATTTTAGCTGCTTACGCTCCGCCACTCTGCCATGGGCCCCTGTACCGCCTCCTCATGCTGCTGCCAGGCCCGTAATCTGCCATGGGCCCCCGTACCGACTCCTCATGCTGCTGCCAGGCCCGTAATCTGTCATGGGCCCCTGTACCGCCTCCTCATGCTGCTGCCAGGTCCAGAGTGTGTCATGGGTCCCTGTACGGCCTCCCATTGCTGCTGTCTCCATCGCCACACTCTGCCATGTGCCACTTTCAGGTCTCCTCACACTGCTGGTGGGTTCCATTTTGTCATAGGGTGCTGTATGGCCTCCCATTGCTTCTGCCTCCACCGCCACCCTGCGCCATGTGCCTGTCATCTGCTCACGCTGCTGACGGCTTCTGCTTTTTAACAGAGGCCTGTGTTTGGCTTCCGAATACTGCTGCATCCACCGCCACCCTGCGCCATGTGCCTCTGTCGTCTGCTCACGCTGCTGACGGCTTCCGCTTTTTAACCTAGTCCTGTGTATGTCTTCCGAATACTGCTGCCTCCACCGCCACCCTGCGCCATGTGCCACTTTCAGGTCTCCTTACACTGTTGGTGGGTTCCATTTTGTGATAGGGTGCTGTATGGCCTTCCATTGCTGCTGCCTCCACCGCCACCCTGCGCCATGTGCCTCTGTCGTCTGCTCACGCTGCTGACGGCTTCCGCTTTTTAACCGAGGCCTGTGTTTGGCTTCCAAATACTGCTGCATCCACCGCCACCCTGCGCCATGTGTCTCTGTCGTCTGCTCACGCTGCTGACGGCTTCCGCTTTTTAACCTAGGCCTGTGTATGGCTTCCGAATACTGCTGCCTCCACCGCCACCCTGCGCCATGTGCCTCTGTCGTCTGCTCACGCTGCTGACGGCTTCCGCTTTTTAACCGAGGCCTGTGTTTGGCTTCCGAATACTGCTGCATCCACCGCCCGCCCACTGCTGCTGCCAGGCCCGTAATCTGTCATGGGCCCCTGTACCGCCTCCTCATGCTGCTGCCAGGTCCAGAGTGTGTCATGGGTCCCTGTACGGCCTCCCATTGCTGCTGTCTCCATCGCCACACTCTGCCATGTGCCACTTTCAGGTCTCCTCACACTGCTGGTGGGTTCCATTTTGTCATAGGGTGCTGTATGGCCTCCCATTGCTGCTGCCTCCACCGCCACACTGTGGCTCCACACTCTGATTTTGGCCCCATGACTGCCCAAATGAGTGAAGTGTTCAGTGATTCTAAGATCGACGGCACACATCTGCATGTCATACTGACTGACAGTATTAGTTCTCTTCCCCAGCAGACTCCAAGGGCATTTAAATTAAAGGTACAGTGTTCTGCACTAATATAAAGGCTCTCTGAAGCCTAGAAACACCCTTTTTATAAGTTAAATTCGCAGCGAATATATTCGCCTCGAATCGAATTTATTCCGCGAAATCGGCGAATCAGCCGAATCGAATTTTTGAATAATTCGCTCATCTCTACTGAGGACCTATAAAACTGCTGGTCCCTATTATTCTAGTTTGTCTACTAGTGTATGCCAATAGGGTTTTCAGTGTATCATATGAAGAAATAACATACCATGCATTCAATGAAATATAGGAGTATTAGGAATCATAAAGCCTTAAATGCAACTGTCCTGTTGGCTTGTGCATTTATATAAATTACCAAAATATTTTGTGATTTTAAAAGTATTAATATGTACAGCAGTGTACTAAATTATCATTTATAACTACAGAGTCGAATACAAATAGAAAAATGCCATGTTTAGAACATATCATTACATTAAATCTCTTTCTACAATTTCCAGGAGATAATGCCAAACCACAGAACCTGCACTGTAATGATACTGATGCGAATTTCACATGCTCCTGGCACGTCAGAGAGGAGATTTCTGAATCTATTGACTTTGATCTCTACTATAAGTAAGTTTTAAAGTTGTTTTTATGGTTGGCGATACATACTTTTGCTTATGCAATAGATTTGCAAGATTATTAGTAAAATGAAATGACCTGATGATACGTGTACTACAATGGTAAAATCTTTTTTTTTTTTTAATCTAAAAACTGAAATGTAACATATTGCACTTTATTAGCTGTTAGCTTTGAAGGCTTTAGTAGTTTTTTTTATTTCAGCTTTTTTCTTCTATTTAAGTGACCCTACCACAAACTTCTTATCCTAGGGTCCCACTAACTTGTGCCACTCTTTTTATGGAGGGAGCACTATTGTTACCCTAGTCTGTTACCTTAATTTGGACAACAAACATCTCTACCTCTACTCACATCTATTTCATAGAGGGATATTACTTCGTAGTTCATAGAAGATGACTATAAAAGCTGATAAGATTCTTTAATATTTCAGTTTAGTGCACAGGAAATTACAGGGATACTGGATTTCTGGCAAGATCAACAAGTATTTTTCTATAGTTATAGAAAATGTGCTTAGCCTGAAACTGAGATGCAGCCATCATATCTAAAGATGCAGCATATAATAAGATTTTGTTCTTGGGTTTAGATATACTCCATTTTGCTTTGTCCAATAAATCCACTGGAAGGTTTTTGCACTGTACAAGTATAATTTACATGACGTTTTAGTTGTAAAAAACAAAACAATTACAAAAAAAAGTACGAAGGCTAGTAGATAGCAAGGACACAGATAGCTGGAAACTATTACAGATACCCACTACTGACACATAAAAATGTCAAGCAGTCACAATTGACATTTACTGAAATATGGATCCTATTATCTCCTTTGCCCTTTTGCTGGTGTGCTGTTTTGTTAATCCTTGCAACAGAAAGATCATACCCAACTTCAAGACTTTATATGTCTCTGGGTTATAATTAGCAGCCTTCAAAGGCCCAAGGAGCTAGGGAACAGTTACACACTTACTGCATGGCAAAGCACACAAGTATGACAGTGTGAAGTATATTTTTTATCTTCAACAATCTCGATTTACTCATTGCTATTTAAACTAGAGGTCTACTTGTAAAAGCTACAGTTATTGTATATTATTTATATTAATATTAAGCCTTTCTTATCTTTATAAATTTAATACATTGACTTTTACCACAGCGAAAAAGCATGTCAGCCCAAATGCCTTCAGGATGCGTTGAAGTACCTTACCTGCCATTGCAATATAATGACCGATGGTGATGTGAACACTTCTGCTTACATCAGTGTAAAACCAAGAAAACCAGAAAAATCTATTAGTTCTGTTAAGTCATTCAGGTTGTGTTTGATATGTAAGTATTCTGAGTTGTGTTATAAATGTAAACAGTTGTTAAATGTTATTCCACTCATATCCAGATAACAACAGCTGGAATACATAATCTGATTGAGTATGAGCAGTGATCAAGATAGGTGTTCATACCTGTCTAGTCAATGTTAATAAGGCAGCAGATTTTCCTCATAGACATGAAATAGTCACCCAATACAGGGCAAAAAGTATGTGTATGACCACAAAGGAAAAACTTTATCAGATGATCTTAAGTTATTAAAAATACTGTGGATAGACTCCCAACCAAAACATATTCTTTTTTTCATTTAATTGGCAAAAGGGAAAAACTATTGGCAATAACTGCAGTAGCATCTTTCACTGAAAGCTTACCCAAAGTTATTTCCCAAGTGATGGACAATCCAATATATTCCAGTTGTCACAGAAGCAAGTGCTGTGCTGAGTTCACCTGTATCAGCAAAATCAAAGAGGGATTTAAAAAAGGACCATCCAACACATATAGCTATCAGATTTCAATGAAAGTGGGTGTGTGGCCTGCGGTGGCACTGCCAGATGTGAAGCAAATGTGAAGCAAAGCCAGCACTTTAGTAATTCTGCTTTTTATCTGCATAAGAATAATGTGATTTTTCAAGGGCACGCAGGACCTGTTTCTCAAGCATAGCCTTCATGCTGCAATGTGTGTCAAAACACATTGCAGAATATGCATAGGTGTGAAAGGGTCCTGAGAGGAAATGGTTGGCTATAGAATTACCAAAAATATGGGAACTTTTAGAGAGGATCATTTGATTTCTGTGCAAGTTACTATTAGATTACTAGTACTGCTGTGAAAATATTTATTGCTGTAATAATAGTATACACTCACCAGCCACTTTATTAGGCACACCTGCTCAATGGCTTGGTAACAGAAATTGCTAATCAGCCAATCACATGGCAGCAACTTAATGCATTTAGGCATCTATATGTGGTTAAGACGACTTGCTGATGTTCAAACCAAGCATCAGAATAGGGAAGAAAGGGCTGGTCTCAGAAACTGCTGATCTACTGGGATTTTCACGCAAAACTATCTCTAGGGTTTACAGAGAATGGTCCGAAAAATATCCAGTGAGCGGCAGTTGTGTGGATGAAAATGCCTTGTTGATGTCAGAGGTCAGAGGAGAATAGGCAGACTGGTTGTGGCAACATTCAGATGGTAGGGTCAGCATTTGGCATAAACAACATGAAAGCATGGATCCATCCTGCATTGTATTAATGGTTCAGGTTGGCAGTGGTGGTGGTGTAATGGTGTGGGGGATATTTTATTGGCACTAGTAAGGTGCACCTAATAAAGTGGCCAGTGAATGTATATCAAAATATGGCCTGAGGTTTAGGGATGGAGTGGAAGATTAGATTCAGGTTAAGAATTCAGTGTATTAGTTAAATAAATGTTAAGTTTGGATTCACACTGTCATGTACATTGTAGCATGTGTAGTAATGCACATGTTTTAGGTGTGAGGCTAAGAAATTAAATCCTACTCAACAATGGGAAAATATTTCAAAGAATCAGTCATTCAAGTAGAATTCCTGATTTAATATCACTTTAAGTAGTTAATTTGGGTCAAACTGGCCCAAGCAAACTATTTCCATTACATAGTGATGTGGCCACTGTGTGTGCTGTAATGTACTGTGGTAGCACAGCTACACACAGTAAGCAGAGCTGTCTTCTGGCAACAGTATGGGAGATGTCATGTCTACTGCAGGAATCAACTACTTGATTTTACCCCTTTCATGACCAGGCTATTTTTTGCTATTCGGCACTGCGCTATTTTAACTGGCAATTGCTAGGTCATGCACTGCTGTACTCAAATTAAATGTATAGCATTTTTTCACACAAATAGGGCTTTCTTTTGTTTTGATTTAAACATTAAAAAAAAAGAAATTTGGGAAAAAAACATTATTTTCTTCTGTTTTAAAACATATACAATACAAAATCATTTTTTTTCATAAATTTGGGACAAAATGTATTCTGTTACATGTTTCTGGTAAAAAAAAAAGCAATAAGTGTAAATTAATTGGTTGTATGAAAGGTATAGCTTCTACAAAAGAAGGTATATACATTTATATACCAGACATGATCAGTGCTAATACTACACACTGTCATTGTACTAATGACATGGGCTGCAAATGAAATGGGTTAACATCTAGAAGGGTTGATTGTGTGCCTAACAATGTGCAATGTGTGTAATATGTGCTTCTTTTACTTTACTGTATGGGTGTTAATTCACTCTGCTTTGCAGGGACAATAAACAGCCAGATCACTGATCATTGTACACAGAGTTCTGTGTTTTATAAACGCAGAACTCTGTGTGTGTTTGGACACAGCCGAACAGCTGATTTCAGCCAAAATCATTGGCTGAAATCAGCTGCCAAACTCATGTTGTGTCCAATCACAGTTTAGGTAGGGCCACAACATACGAGTATGTCACCTAGTCTGCCTGTGCCTGTCACCCACCATACATGTATGGGCAGCCAGCAAGTGGTTAAGGAGAGTTTGGCTGGTTTCTTGTCCACCATTCAGGAGAAGCTTTGTATTTTTACAGGTTTTTTTTTTTCAACAATGGCTGCCTCCATATTTCACTTATGACAGATTTACTTGACAGATATATCAAGCTTTAAAGGAAGTTGCGAGCGCTATGGACAAAATAAAGCAGCCACAGCATCAAAAAGGATACCAAAAACCTTGCAAAAACATAGAATATAAAAGATGCGTGCTATATCACAAATATTATTATGCAAAAACGTCCAAGATATCAATATATAGTGATTAGGTGACTAATGTGATCACAAACATTATGTCACAAGCAGAGTAACATGCAGTGCAAAATAAACAGTCTTAGTGACAATCCCTCTCCTTCAAAGTGCTTCTTGCATGCGGTGATAGTGAGAAGGGTAAGGCTGTGCACTCACCAGATGCACAGTGTAACTGCGCATTTAGAGATAAATTTTCTCTACTGGATCCACTGGTAGCTCCTAAAGGTCAGGTCAGGCCAGGTATTCCTCCCCCCGCTGGATGTTGCTGACAATCCACGGTCTCCCTTTTGGGTGGCTCTATAGGTGATAAGTGACTCACAACATTGTGTCTTTGTACGGCTCCCAAGGTTTTACTGAGGTCACGCTGATCTGGATGCACAGCTTCTTTATGTTTAGCAAGATAAACTGGTGGCCCCTTCAGTAGGAGCAAAAACATTCTCTCTGCAGATTTAACATTTTTTATTCCATTCAAATCTGGCTTTCCAGTGAAGAAAACTTTTCCTGGTAGAATTTCCACCTCTGCAGCCGACACTTTCCCATCTGGCTTTCCAGTGAAGAAAACTTTTCCTGGTAGAATTTCGGGAAAGTGTCGGCTGCAGAGGTGGAAATTCTACATATTGATATCTTGGACGTTTTTGCATAATAATATTTGTGATATAGCGCCGCATCTTTTATATTCTATGTTGACAGATATATATCGTTTGCAAGATATACTGTATGTTTATTTTAAATGTTGTTTAGAGTTTAAAAAATAGCTTCTAACCTACTAAAGTTTCATTTTTTAGTTTGTGTTTTATATTTGGAGATGTAACTGTCACTTTTTTTGTCTCAGATCAACTTCCACCCAGAAACTTGACAATCAATGAAACAAAGAGAGGAGAGGCCTTCACTGCTACTTGGAAGGATACGACTCCAGAACATAGAGATTTTCACTATCTTTATGAACTCTGTTACTGGAATCAGAGTGACCTGAAACAAATAGAGGTTTGTTCCACAAAAAAAAAAAATCTGTACTTGCATGTGACATTGGGACACATAAGTGTGATTACTGCTGGTCACTAAATGCAAAAAAACTCACTAAACATCAGATGTCAGCATAAACTGCAGAATGGCATTATAAATAAGAAGCCACATAATAAGCAGGTTGGAATTTGTCATTATCAGTTAATGTTTTAATACTGACAAAGTTACACAATTCTTTGAATTGCTAATTCTGAATGTTTTATTTAAAGTGTATCACTGGTAAAAAATTGAAAACTCATACTCTACATTGTCTAGCACAGGGGTCCTCAAACTATGGCCCGCGGGCCACATGCGGCCCTCCGAGGCCATTTATCCGGCTCGCCGGCAGGGGCGGGACAGGAAGGGACACTAAGTACAGGGGTGGGCAAGGGGCTGCTGTACCTTACCTGGCTCTGGTCCCAGTCCCACGACGATCCAGTCCAGGAAGCGCTGCTCCTTCATTCACTCCGGCCACTCCCTCACTCCTGCCGCTTGGCTCTGCCTCCTCACTGGTGATTGGGCGCCAGAACTGTAGCTTAAGAAAGGCACACAGGCTGCCAATCACCTGCGAGGAGATGGAGCCGAGCGGCCTCGCGAACATCGAGTGAGGGAGAGGCCGGAGTGAAGAAGGACAGCTGACAGGTAAGTGTGCCGTGCAGATGGTGCTGCTTCAACCAGGTATGCTGGCTGCAGCAGCGCACCTAGGCTGGAGCAGGGATCAGTAAGTTACGTGTCATTGGTATCAGTGGGAGGAATAGTGCCCCATCATTGGTGTCACTGATACTAATGAGGGGGCATTCCTCCCACTGACACCAATGATGGGGCACTGTTCCTCCACTGAAACCAATGATGGGGCACTGTTCCTCCACTGAAACCAATGATGGGGCACTATTCCTCCCACTGATTCCAATGATGGGGCACTATTCCTCCCACTGACACCAACGATGGGGCACTATTCCTCCCCCCACTGACACCAACGATGGGGCACTATTCCACCCCCCACTGACTCCAACGATGGGGCACTATTCCACCCCCCACTGACACCAATGATGGGGCACTATTCCTCCCCCCCACTGACACCAACGATGGGGCACTATCCCCCCCCACTGACACCAACGATGGGGCACTATTCCACCCCCCACTGACACCAACTATGGAACACTATTCCTTCCCCCACTGACACCAATGATGGGACACTATCCCCCCCACTGACACCAACGATGGAACACTATCCCCACTACTGACACCAATGACGGGCACTATTCCCCTCCACTGACACCAATGACGTACTATTCCTCCCACTGACACCAAAGATGGGGCACTATTCTTCCCACTGACACCAATGATGGCGCACTATTCCTCCCACTGACACCAATAATGGGGCACTATTCCCCCCCACTGACACCAATGCCGTACTATTCCTCCCACTGACACCAGTGATGGGGCACTATTCCCCCCCACTGACACCAATGACGTATTATTCCTCCCACTGACACCAAAGATGGGGCACTATTCTTCCCACTGACACCAATGATGGGGCACTATTCTTCCCACTGACACCAATGATGAGACACTATTCCTCCCACTGACACCAATGTTGGGACACTATCCCCTTCCCCCACTGACACCAATGACGGGACAGTATTCCCCCCCCCACACTGACACCAACGATGGGGCACTATTCCTCCTCCCACTGACACTAATGATGGGGCACTATTCCTCCCACTGACACCAATGATGGGGCATGATTCTTCCCACTGACACCAATGATGGGGCACTATTCCTCCCACTGACACTAATGATGGGGCCCTATTCCTTCCCCCACTGACACCAATGATGGGACACTATCCCCCCTACTGACACCAATGACGGGGCACTATTCGTCTCCACTGACACCATAGCATTTAATCAACAGTTGCTATTTCAACAGTATACATTTAAAATTTTATTTAAAAAAATGCAATTTGAAAAAGTATTGGAGTACAATCAAGTAAAAAAGACTTGAAATATTTTTTAGATTCAAGTGGCATTAGTTATGTGGTTTAGATAGTGGGGTTGATTTACTAAATCTGCAGAGTGCAAAATCTGGTGCAGCTGTGTGTGGTAGCCAATTATCGTCTAATGCAGGCCATACATAGGTCGAATTCTGAAAGAATTTTCTTTAAAAAATCTGAAATTTAGTGTAATCTGATGGTGTCATCATTGATTTCGAAATCTGACCAACCAAGCCTTTAATTTCACCTCTTGTTGTCACAGAAAAACATTTTTGTGGACAAGAATTTTGTTTTCTTTCCAGGTCACAGCTCATGCTCATTTCTTTTTCAGTTACATTTCTCGTATGATTTTCCATTCATTGATTAGAAATTTCGTCATTTTTCAAAACATTTCCAACATGCCGATCACTCAAATTCGATGGTCGCTCGAAAATCATGGCCCACTAATGGTGCAAAATTCAAATGACAATTCTTAGAAGAGATTTTTAATTTTCTGTCCAATTTCTGCCAATTACCTTTAGATTTACCTTCATTTATGTAGTGCAAGGGCCTGCCTAATTGAAAGTGTTGTTTAGGTTTGACCTCTTATTATATGTTTTTTTGTAAATCTAAAGCAAAATTCTCAAGAAAATTGTATCATGTATGGCCAGGCTAACTTCAGCTTGTTCAATTAAGCTTTGACAATAAAACCTGAAAGCTGATTGGTTTCTATGCAGAACTGCACCAGATTTTGTACTCTGTAGTCTTAGTAACTCAACCCCATTGTTTTGTTTAACACTTCTGAATAAGTAATGTTTTTAGTAAAGTCTCAGAAAAAATGGGGCAGGGGTATGGCTGCTCCAAAGTGAAACAGCTGTGTGCTACAGTGCCAAATCAGCATCACAAGTGTAAAGAATATTTGATAGCAGGGGCGGACTGACCATTTGGAAACTCGGGCACTGCCCGAGGGCCCGGGGTCAGTAGGGAGCCCCATGAGATGCCCCTGGTACCTTTTTTCATAGGCTTTTTTGAGTTTGGGCAAGGACACAGGGGCCCCATGATCCCCTATTGCCCGGGGGCCCCATGAGTTGTCAGTCCGCCCCTGTTTGAGAGCAATATTTTTTTACCCCAAAAGGTGATGCAAAGGTATGTAGTGTTGCCCATGAGTTTAAGAATTAATTCATTGCTCATCACTAAAAGGTTTTTATTGATAAGAGGAAAATAAATACCGTCAACACATTTTCTGGCACTATGTTGGCCACTTCTTCAGGATTGTGGTGAAAATAACTAGCTAAAAAATTAGAGATACGTCTTATACAAAAATACATAAAAATACTTTTTAAATGATACATAAAGAAATGGTTACAGTTACTATAAAGTTTTTCATATATAAGCATTAGAATTTTATCAAATTTATTTGAATTAATAAATATTAATTCAAGTGGAACTGAAGGCCCAGAGCTATTTGTAAGTTAAAATGTGCAAAGAAATTTTATTTACTGCTCAACTGTAATGAATAGCCAGTTCAAAAAACGTTAAAATCAAAATTTCACATTTTATTTCTGATTGATAGTACAGCTTCTGCTGATATGAGAGTTCCAGGTCTCATAGACTTCAATGTTAGTGTACTTTTATTCCTCCTCTCTCTTTGGCTATTCACAGAACACCATGCATAGCTGAAGTTCTCTTTTAGGTTTTTAGTGAGCTAATAATGTTCTTTCACCAGCAGGTCCCCAATAATTGCCCAGTTGAACCAGAAGAGATAAAATCCAACCAGGATCCCAGTAAAATATTCCAGCTTGGTAAGCAGCTTAAGCCAAGCAGTAATTATTCAGTGATGGTCCGCGTACGTTTGAATGAGGAAAATAAAAAGCACTGTTTCCAGGGCCCATGGAGTGAATGGAGCAAAATACAAACGTTAACCACCAAGGCAGGTAACGACAATCACAATATTGTTTTGGGAATCTTCCAGCTTGATAATATTTAAGGCTTAGTAAGGTTCAGGGGTCTAGTCACAGTGATAGTGCTTTGGGATCACATGAAAAGCTGTTTATTGTTAACATAAAAAGTATTTATTTTCTATAAAGTAAACAAAAGCAAAGCTTCCAACAGCAAACATAAATGGCTACACTTCAGCAACACAAAACAATAGTCCACTTGTCTTCAGCCCAAATAAAACATAACATGTGCAAAGATCAAAGTGCAAGGGATTTACCCAAAGTTTGGAAAGTCTAAATTCAGTCATATAGCAGCTTCCAGTAGGCATACAGCACAAAGATAGGTATCTCCTCTCCCAAAATCCTGCTACTCCACATATTGAACTAGGAGCTTCCTGTCTTTAGTGCTGCTTCCTAGAGATGAGCTTAACCCTCTTGGAATCAGAGTCCCCATAATCAGGGGCAGAGATTCTGTCCTACCCAAATATCTCTCCAAATTTCCAAAATTCTAGGCCCCAAATAGACCATTATTAACACAGAGAGAACTGTAAGTCAGTCCTCTCATTTATGCCCAGCTGTCCTGGTACCTCTCCCTTTACAGTGGTGAGAACCCCTGAGTACGCAACCATTTCCCTTAAAGGGACCATAACCCAAATATGGGTGAAACATAACACCCATCCAGGACGCATTCATGGCATTCTGTACAGGCCCATTCACACTATTGTGGTTTGTTAGTGCACAAGCCTTATGCTGTGTTTTAAAGTGTGTTACATGAAGGAAGCTTCACATGACGTGTTATTGGCAGTATCCATTGGAAACATGTTGGTATAGGCAGGAGGTGATGTCACCAGTACAGGAACATTGTTATAGAGCAGCAATGGGCAAACTACGGCCCGCGGGCCGTATACGGCCCTGTGGACCTTTTAATCCGGCCCGCGGAGCGTGATAGAAAAAAAAAAACCAGCCAGGGCAGGCAAACATTGGCTGTCAGGATGTGTGTAGGCGGGGCAGCGTGACGAACTTGAGGGGAGCTAGGCTCCTCTCACAGTCCGCCCTGAAGACCAGAACGGCGCGGGAACACGGCGAGAGGAACGCGCGGAGCAAAGGTAAGTAAATTGACACAGGGGGGACTTGGCTTACTACTTGGGGGGGAATAGTACTATGGGGGATGAAATACTATATGAGGGATGAATTAATATGGGGGATGAATTAATATGGGGAATGAATTACTATAGGGGAGATGAATTACTATAGGGGGGATGAATTACTATATGGGGGATGAATTACTATGGGGGATGAATTACTATGGGGGATGAATTACTATATGGGGGATTAATTACTATGCTTACTATGGGGGAATATTACTATACTTACTATGGATGGCATGGTAGTGGCTGGGCCGGCCAGCAGCTAGTGGGGGGCATAAAAGTTTTGTAAAATAACTCTTTTTATGCTTTTCTACCTTAAATTAATCTAAACATTTAATGTTACAAATTTTAATTTAATTTATATTAATTCACACATACACATCATTCATCTAGTCTTGGTCCGGCCCCGGGTCCAATATATGAACCCATTGCGGCCCTCAAGTCAAAAAGTTTGCCCACCCCTGTTATAGAGTGTCGGAGCGATTGTCAGAGCCTTTTACTATCAGATACAGTCTGAGTGTCAGTGGCCAGTGCCCAGCCTGCTTGTGTTAAGTGCTCCTTTTCCTTGCTCTGATCCTATTGAAGCTATCATCACACACATGCTTGCTCTGCATCAGCAACATTGCAGCAATACAACTCTGCAGCAACATGCAGCTGGCAATATAGAGTGAGTGTTTTTACTTTAATGTTATACATGTTATTTATTCCTTTTATGTTTATTTTTGCACTAAGGATTTCTAAGTGTTGCTGGAGTTGTTTATAGTGTATTGAGGTTTGTGGGTTCACCCCTTAATGGCATTCTAAGCAATGATACTGAACAGCTGACAAAATAATGGGTGAGATGCATTCAGCTAACAGTTCTTATTCTTAAATACAAATTATTTAGGTGTATGCAAGCCCTAACAATGAACTTCTCTTAATTGCTCCCTTTGATCTTTTAATATACTATTGAAAGTGTTTCGTTATATCTGGTTCATAAAAAGCAAAAAAAGCTGTTAATCCTACCAGAAATACAGTGTGCTTCAAATTTCTTGTACACTCCATCTCTGCTGCCACATTATCAGATATAATATCAGATATCGGTTATCAGTCCTAGCACTCTACAGAACACTTCCCTGTGTGTTATGAAGATGACAAGGGGGAAAGTTGTTGTGTAGTCCAAATCAGGAGCAAGCAGTGGTTCCTCCTTACATACAGTACAGTGAGTGAGTGTTGTCACACTAGTATAGGAAGTATGTTACTGGCAAATGAAAGAAAAAATACCCTGAAAAAATTGAAACAAATGCTGCTACCACATCCATGAACTAGTTATATATTACGTTTTTATTCTTGGATTTAAATACACTTTAAATTTAGGAACTCAGAGTGAGCAACCAGGATTCACTCTCCCATATTCAGACCTTACAAGACATTAGCATTTCTAAATAAGAACTCTTTCTTTAATAGAGGGATGGAGTCAGGCACATGAAAAGAGAAGCATTAAAACAACCTCTGGAAAGCACTGTCAAGCAGAAAGTCAACAGTAACCCAACATTTATTGCACTACAGGCAGCACAGTGGCTAAATGGTTAGCACGTCCGCCTGGCAGTACTAGGGTCGTTTCTTCAAATCCCAGCAATGGCACCTCCTGCCTGGAGTTTGCATGTTCTCCCTGTGCCTGCATGGGTTTCCTCCTACACTCCAAAGAAATGCTGGTAGGTTAATTGGATCCTGTATAAATTGGCCCTTGTATATGAATGTGAGTTAGGGACCTTAGATTGTATGCCCCTTGAGGGTTAGGGACTGATATGAATGTACAATATATGTAAAGTGCTGTGTAAATTGATGGCACTATAAAAGTACCTGAAATACATAAATGGGTTCTTTGAACCTCTCACTAGAACACTGAGGGAGGCTGTGCTCCATATCAAATGCAAGCTCCCTGCTTTTGCTTATAGGTGGAAGGCATGTGATTGCTAGTTCAATTTGATCCATTCATCTGTACTGATTACAGTCACAAATCTTTATAAAGATGGTAGATTACCTTGAAGCTGCAATGGCCTACAACAAAACGTCCTTAGTGTAGACACGCTGTGGTGCCTATAAGTACCTATGTTAGTCTTCAAATCCTTGGGTTTGTGTTTAAATATGCTTGCCACTATGTTAAGCAATATTCAGTGAATACATATGAGATCCAAAAATCCAACACCCCAGCAGTTGTCACTGCTAAACACCCTTCCCCTTACTGTCAGTCAGAGCTGGCTATGTAGTCCAATGGCCCACTATGTCTTGAGCAAGCAAAGCAGGCTGTCCTCTTGGATCCCACCTCTTGCAGAGAAACAGAATAGAGATCTTGGCAGTCCTTGTGAAAATATATATTTATAGAGTGTCTATCCCATGCTACCAGTGTAAAATTCTATTTATTATCAATGTTTTATAGATATAATTGTGCAATAGTCTTGTGTATATATCTATGTTAGTGAAAAAATCCAATCAAAGGCTGCAGACAATTGTGTTCCCTTAACCTATATAAAACATCAGATGTAAAAGACTACTGCTGCTCCTTTTTTTTATTCAACACATAATCAATTAAACATCTCACTACCATCCTATAACCAATACAAATCCACCCTATATGCGCTTACTTCTAGAAGTGGACAAGCAAAATATCAGGTCAAAACAATTTTCCCCCACCTGGGGTTTGCTGTAGATCCCTCCTACGCAAAGCCTCCCCTGGAGGACTTTACTTCTTACCACTTAGGAGGTTATGTGTCACCACACATATATAGGTGTATGGCCTTTTAAAAGATCACAGTTTCTTCCTGTAGTGAACTCGTATAAAGAAGGGGTTCCTCATAGTGTAGTAAATCTCTTAATCCTTTTTATTTAATAAAATTGCACTTACATTTGTATTGAAAACATTGGCATTGATTGTAAGACAGTGGGGCCATGGCTCCCACATCACTTCCAGTTATGGCTGTCAATCTTCAGGGGTACCCCCGAGAAAGTCACATGACTGTGACAACACTCGTTGGGTGGAGCCGGGTGATTGACGGATGATTCAAACTATGGAGCCTGAAATGAATTGACAGAGACATTCAAGCAATACCTGTGACCAATGCAAACCTCTAAAAGAGCACCAATGGTGATCTCAAACCTGAAACATAGGTTCTTCAAATAATGAGTCATTGATTATACATTAATGCCAGAAAAACCTGGAAAACAAAACAAAAGGTGAGGGTGAAAATACAAAAAAACAGCATGTTTCACGCCTATATGAGCACTGGAGTCCTACATCTGAAAAATCCATATCCACAGCAATTGCAGCCACATCAATGTATTTGTAGAGAAATCTTAGGGAGAAAACCAATGTGCGGAGGCAAAGGTGAAAAAAACGCATACAAAATTTAAATCTGCTCATGGTGGATGAATCAATGTGAACCAGGACGAATGGGAAGTGGAGTGAATGAATGAAACTGGGAGGACAAATAGACAGGGCAAAATAAGCTCCCATACATGTTCAGGACTACCTGTTTTCCCCTACAAGACCTTTCAGCTTTTGATGTGGACAAGATGATGGATACACATGTCTGTGATTTTCACATGCTAAACTCTAACGCCACCAACTGATTGTTTGAGAAAAGTTCACCAATTTGATAGGCATCAAAACAGGGTCTCAAATGCAGCAATAAAGAAAGGATATTTGAAATGGCTCTGCAAAGAAACTGGATGTAAAGAATTGGGGTTTTAGGTTGTGCACCTCCCACCATTCAAGATATGCTGGACAGTGAATGTGCTCCCCAGCTAAAGAGCATAAAGTAAAATGACAAGGCACAGAATGCTGTACTTACTGTCTAACCTGAGATTCAT